TATATATATATATATGGTGCAGATGTAAGTTTCTAGTAACATTTTAGTTTGACATTTACAGGTCGTCATTAACTGACCATTATCAAGCACCATGGACCCTGTCTGGTTACACAGCATTCAAGGCCCTACTCTCTGCAAGACTTGTTGCTGCTATATGGTGTAACATTTCTGATTGCGATGAAACGTACAACTACTGGGAACCGGTATGCTTCATCTGCTCATTTTCTGTTCCCATGAACATATATTTAAATAAAATTGAACTTGAATGTTTTATATTCACCAATGTTTTAGATTCTTGCTCGGTCTGCACCTTACTTGTATTAAAATAATTGTGCTTGAGCAACCCCCTTCCAGTCTCACGAAATGACATGTGCATGCAGGGGTAGAAATCAACTTTTGAACACGGGAGTCCAACAGACTCCCTACCCTCAAAAAGAGGGAGTCCGTAGCAAAAAATAAGGGAGTCTGCAATCTGAAGTTCAAAACTAAAGATATTAACAATAACACATGTGCTTATTTTTAAGATTCATGCGGTTGCGCGTCTGCCAAATTTTCTTTGGACATTAGCTGAAAAAATACAGCACATCCGCGAGGCCGTGCTTCGGAACGAACTAGCTAGTACATATGGCAGAATTTTCAGGGAGTCACACGGACTCCTGCATATGTCAAATCAGGGAGTCCGACAGTAAATCAGGGAGTATTTGACTCCGGACTCCCGTTAATTTCGCACCCTGTGCATGGCATGCACAAGTACCACTTTTATTTATTATAATCACGTGGAACTTTATGCTATCTTGTAGTGTCCAGTATGTCAGTGATATAATGGGTAATAGATGTACGTATCTTATAATGTTTTCGGGTTCTTTATTTTATACTGGACTCAAGGGTTTAAGTCCACATCAGTAGAACCCACTCCAGGAATCTGGCTCGGTCCAGTTTTGGCAGCTTTCACGCTTGCTCTCCATATGACACGATCCAAGGGGTCTACAGCGGAGAGATTCCACTGTTCCCTATTCTTCTTCACAACCTCCTTCCAAGACATCTTCGGCCTCCCACGTCTTCTTACACCAACAACTTGAACTTTACCCACTGTCTTGATGGCACCGGTGGAGCGCTGAACATGGCCATACCAGCGGAGTCTTCTCTCACGTAATATGACATCAAAGTCCAAGATACCCAATCTGCCCAGCAGCTCGTTTGAAGGGGCCAAATCCTCGATTGGGACATTGCAGATCCATCTGATCATTGCCCTGTCATTACGCCGGAGGCGTTGCAAGTCAACAGATTTCATTGCCCATGTCTCGCTCCCGTGCAGCATGGCGCTGCGGACACAGGTGCCATACACATGACCACGAGTCCTGAGGGACAGATGTCGAGGAAGCAGCTTCCGAAACTTCCCCCAGGCGGTCTTTGCTCTAATGATAGTGGCTAATTCACAGCCACCACCCGCCGAGAGAGTATCACCAAGGTAGCAGAAGGAGGGTGCCACCTCCAGTTTGTCCTGCACAATCTGCACCTCTAACAGTGGTCTGCCATCAAATGGGCGGGCATCGCCCATGCACCGCTTGCATCGTAAGTCCGGGTCGTCATTGAGTCGGCCTTTTATGCCACTACACTTCTTATGTACCCAGTGTGCACAGCCGCGACAGCGGACAGAATTTCTCCCAACTCCCTTCCTGCACACAACGCAGGAGTACTTCCCGGAGTCTTCCAAGAGGTCAAGTTCAGCACCACAAATCATGATTATGATTATTATCGCTTACAACGACGGTGGCGCCACTGGCAGCGCACCCACTGAAAAGTTGCGCAAAGCAACGTTTCGGCTGCAGGCTACAGACCGAGGGTGTTTCTTATTTATTAATTTAAGAGCAGAAGGATTGCAATATCTTATAAACGACATATAGTTTCAGTTATAATATGGATAAATTTGTCCTAAAATGAATATAATTACAATTTTGTGATTAGCCTTCGGTCTGTAACGTGCAAAATATTTTGGCAAATGCGCAACTTTTTCAGGGTGGCAGCACAGTTGCTGGTGTCATGTCAGTGCCCAAAAATGACGATTTCGAAATTCAATGTTGTTTTATGACAAACGTGAATGCGTAAAATAGATATTTATGGGTATGTGCTATTATTTATAAATCTACTATCATAATATACTCTCAAATTCTAGAGCAAAGTATTCCTTTAACTTCCAGCTGTGTTTACTTTTGACAATCCCAACAGTCATGCTGTGTTTTGACAGCTTAATGTATACAAATCCAAACTAATGGTTAATCTATGTATTATTAGGGCGGCTTTGACAGGTAATTGACTCCAATTTTGGGGAGGGGATGAATTGCTCGACATTTATTGCTTCTGAAATATTCTGATCTTTAACTTTTTTACCTAATACGAGTATTTTACATGGACTTTTTTATGTATGTTTTCAGTTGCACTACATGATGTATGGCTCAGGTTTCCAGACGTGGGAGTACTCGCCAACGTATTCAATCCGCTCTTATGCATACATCTTAATTCACGCGATTCCGACTTCGCTCTACAGCCAGCTCATTCAGCCCAACCGCATACTCGTCTTCTTCTTTCTACGATGTGTTCTGGCATTCTCTTGTGCCCTTTGCGAGGTTTACTTTTATAGGTAAGTTTATCGAGGCAATACAGCTTTGTTTCTTTTAGTTTTATGTGAGGGTTGCTCAGAAAGTTTGTTAGATGCACTTCCGAATGAAGTGACCGACTTATGCACCAGGCTTTTGTCAAGTTTTAAATAGTGTTAAGTGGCTGAGAGTGAGAATCTGTAAAGAATAGAAACACTGAAATTAATCTGAAGTGAGATTTGTATATGGAAACAAGTCCAGAATGAAAACAGGTAGCAATAATGAGCCATAAACAGTGAGATATACAGCCTTGCTTTCCTAAGTTCTGGTGGCAATAATTGTGTAGCGAGTCAGTTATCCTACAGAAATTTGTCCCAGCAGGAAGCAATGCGTAACTTCTACATATAGATTAGTTTTAAGGATGCACAAGTCTAGGAAGCAATAGATCATATTCTGAACGTACATCCTATTATCTATGTTGACTGGATTAAATATTGGTATAGTAACGGAACGTGAGTAATGTACCGTGCAGTCTAACCTAATCGGAATATCGTGTTTCTAGGGGTGTATGCAAGCAGTTTGGCTCGCACGTTGGCCGCATGACGCTGTTGTTCCTCATCCTGAGCACTGGCATGTTCATTAGCAGCTCTGCATTACTACCCAGCTCATTCTCGATGTACATGACCATGCTGGCGATGGGAGGCTGGTTTCTAGGCACGTTCTGGGTGAGAAATGCATCGATGCAGAAACGTTTGCGCGAGGTCTAGAGCCGGGATGTTTTGCCCAGTAGTTTTCGTCTAGTCGCCTGGAGGTAGCATGTAGATAGATGAGCGGTAGCAATCGGCGTAGTTCATGAAAATCGGTGAAACGTTCGTAGTTGTTAATTTTGAAGATTTTGATTGTGAGCTTCTCAGTGGTGACTGTTGTGCCTGAAACATACCAGTCACAACAAATGTACTGCATAATGATACGGAAAATCTAGATAAATTCGGAATAAATAATCTTTAACGAATGTTTCAGGTGAGCATATTGGCAGTAGCAGCAAGTGCAATTATAGGTTGGCCCTTTGCTGGTGTGCTTGGGTGTGTATTTCATCAATACAGTAAATATTTAAGATGTGTTATTAAGTCAATCTCCTGTAGGTGGAGAGACTTCTACTCTAGTTTGAAATGGTATAGCTGTGATTACATTCAGTTGAAGTTACTGATATGAATATTTTGCTAAGCAGCTTTGTCGAAACATACTAGAACTCAATGCATAGATATGTATATTATTGTTTACAGGATACCAATAGCATTCGATCTTGTAGTAAGAAAGAAGAGAGTACTCTATTTCTTCAAGATGGCAGGAGTTTTTGGCTTTAGTATACTGGTACGTGTTAATATATTATAAAAATGGAGAATTTTGCAGATTTCCACTATACGATATATGCATTAAACAGCTCACTATAGCCATCTGTTGCTTATTATAATGAAAAAAAATCATATGCAATATCCAAACTTATATACATACTGTGGTACAAACATTTAAGGGGTTTATTGGCAGTGTGTGTCTGCACATATCGATAGCACCTACTATGGAAAGGCAGTGATCACACCCTTAAATATCATACTCTACAATGTCTTCAGCGGTCATGGACCTGATCTATATGGTGAGCATAACCTTTATTTTAAGAAATTTTAAGATATTTCTGGTATTAAACCAGTATGTATGTAGTATGTATAGATTTTCCTAATATTTTATCAATGTATGACCTGTTGTCTACAACAAACGTAGTGAAATTAGTGAAAATTGGTGTAAAATAATGTTTACTTTTTTAACAGATCAAAAACAATTATGTAGTTAGTTATTTAAGTGTCTCAATGAGATAAATGTTTTAACATTGCTTAGATGTAAAGGTGAAGAAGTCTTGTAAGTTTGATGAACAGCACTGTCGTATATTTCTTACCAGCTTGCTGAATCGTCATCAACTAACCTCCGTGCATCCGAGCCACTGTGTGAATTGCTCTACAACTCTCCTTGCAGGTGTCGAGCCCTGGAGTTACTATCTCATCAACGGCCTTCTCAACTTCAATATGGTCTTTGTGCTGTCCTTTCTGGCACTGCCGCTGACAGTAAGTGTGCAAATCTTACTTACAGACAGAGCTGCTGAACCATCTGTAGGCAACACCGACCTTACTTAATACTGTTAATTGTGCATGCATTTGACAATGAAAGATAATGTATAATGTAGACATAGTAGGTATATTATTACATAAAACTATGGCTGTGGTTATTCTGCTGTTGAGTGATGTGTTGTAAAATAGTTGATATTGCATTCTAGTATATGACTGGATACATACTCGATATCCCTGTGTCTGGTCGCATTCCAAGCTGGCTGAGGTTATTGGCCATGTACATCTGGCTAGCCATCTTCTTCCTGCAGCCTCACAAGGTGAGAAATTAATTTCTTATCCTTCATCACACATATCTGTACATAACACCTGTATTCAACATGGACTGTGCGAAGTTTCATTTAAAAGTTCTCCAGAATAAAAATCAATACACTCGTCCCAGAATGTAGAAAAACGTTTAGCTGAATCAAGATGTTTAGATTCGTATATACACTTCAGTGTTTATTAAAGTGTTGCCTATGTGAACATTGCTAGGAGGAGCGGTTCCTGTTTCCGGTGTACCCACTCGTGGCTTTACATGGGGCTGTGGCTCTCGACTGCATCCAGGTATATCAATTGTTACTGTTTAACAATTTAACACATTTTTTTTTTAAAGTTTACTTACATTTGTCATCTACTGAACGGATTATGCCGGTGCAGACACATCCTGTTCTATGTTTGAAACCAATGTATAACAACAGCTTGACAAGTGTAATGTCAGTAGTAATTATACTTTCAAAGGAGGCCTAATGGCATGTAATTAGGTACAAAATAACGTTTTTAGGTGAAAAATGGGAAGAATACAATAAATTCCTTGGTTTCTCCAGGTGAAATTCCAGACGTAATCATGTAACTGAAATGTTATCTATTTATAATACCAAAATTGAAAAGTGCAGTGCACGTTGAGAACATTTTACATAAAAGTGCGGATAGTGTTAGGTTCCAAGCGATCTTTTATTCCCATCTTTATATGCTTCAATATTTAATTGAGCAATTGCCTGTTCTTGCAGAAACTCTATTGCCATGTAGCAATGGGACTGATGCACAGGAAGATGCAAGTAGATCCTCAAACTAAAACGTCCCCCTATCAGCACTACACAAAGTCGTCTGCGTGGCTTGCCATCGCATTCTCAGTGGCCTTCACCCTGCTCTCAGTATCTCGGAGTCTTGCCCTTTACAAAGGTATTACACTGTTGTCTTTGAGAGGGCGTGATTACTCGTTTAATTAATTGTTGTCATTATTTACCATGTTTGGTAAACCAGCTAGGTGTTTCTGGGATATTCTTGGTCTTTTATTTCATTGTCATACATGTAGTTTTCTACTGTTGATAGATAGGTGTCTTATTGGTTGGCTTCGAAGTTTGATATATTGGTCTAGATAATTAATAGGTGTTTATGCTGACTACTAGCTTCTTTATCGCATCTACTGTGTAGATGCATTGAGAGATCTGTGATATTAATGTGAATTTTTAAACTGTCGTGATATTAGAAGATAAGTCACACGTGTGGTGATGGTCAATCACAGCACTGTGCACATTGAAGGTTATGCATTACGATAGCTGAGAGACACGAGTGTAGAATCACACTTTGCCGCTATCTGCATCGTGCTGTTGTCGTCATACATTATCTGCCATGTGACATTAAAACGAGGACACGCTCACGCCAGAGACTGGTCACTACTGTATGTACTGTATATGCTTGACTGTAGGTTACCACGCACCCCTAGACGTGTACATGGAGATGAACTGGTTGGCACAGGACACTCAGGTACACACTCTCCCTGCGGACAAGGCTGTTCACGTCTGCGTGGGAAAGGAGTGGCATCGCTACACCAGCAGCTTCTTTCTGCCAAATACGAAGTGAGAGAGTGACACTGAGAGAGGGTGAAAATTTTGGTGAACGTCACGTGTGTACTGACAGTGAGCTAACGAGTAGATCATGCTAACGAGTTGATCGTGCTAATTTTCGTGCACATTCTAATACCGAAACTGCAGCTTCATAAAATAGGACAATCAATGTAATGCTCACCTGAGTATTTACCATTGTACGTTTTTGTGCATATTTTAATGAGACTGATGTTTTTATTGTCTATTAAATCTGAATTTCAGATAATCATTTTCAGAAAATCATTATATTCAGAGAAACATTCAGATAGTCATATAGAATCAATGATATAAATGAATGTTATTCAAATGCTAGTTTATGCAATGTTTTGAGAGCGTGTGTCAAAATTTATTAAACACGTGTGAGCGCTTATATAGCCATAGACAGTTGCATCATAGGCAGCGTGTGTTTGCTTGCAGTTGGCACTTGCAGTTCATTCAGTCAGAGTTTAAAGGTCAGTTGCCGAAGCCTTACGGGAACTCTTCATCCGAGGTGCCATCGCAAATGAACGATATGAATCTAGAGGAGCCTTCACGATATGTAAGCTCGCCCTTGCTTTATACGTGTCTTGTCAACTCTTGTCTGGTGTAAATCTAATGATAAACAATAGTAATAATTTGCTATCATACCTTATCAATGGTGAAAGCTATTGGTGTGGGTTCAACATATTGCTTATATGTCAGTATAGATTATATGTGAGATAATGTGCAGAAACAATAACTTGTAGTAAATATGGCAACAAATTCTAAACATACTTCATACGTGTCCACAAGTTGGCCATATTTAAATGTATTCTAAGAGCGTGCCAACTTATCGCTTGTATTTTTTGTATGCGCAATGTCTCTCATCTTGGCTCAGTCTGAGTGACGCGTAACAGGCTTGTTCTTTGTGTAGATCGATGTGAAATACTGCCACTACCTGATAGACCTTGATTTACCGCAAGAGTCTGCGTTAGAACCTAGGTACACACAGATGTCAAACGACTGGAAAGTAATAGCATCACACCCGTTCCTAGATGCACCTAGGTAGGTATCATGCGTGCACTCGTTCCTATCTACATGTAGTAACATAATTAATTTCACGGGCATACACACAAGTAACCAATGTTACACCGAAGGTGTGCTCTAGCGACATTTTCTTCACGGTTAGGAAATTTCTGGACGGTTCTTACGAAGATTCGTTAAACCAACGATGTGCCAAAACTATTCACGTTGGTTTCTATAATGCTTCAGAGTGTGATGGTCTTGTTGATTGTATTTTAACAGAAGAAAGTTTGCAGTACAAAATGCAAATGAATTTGCTTGTACCTTTCAGGTCACATCAACTGTTCAGATCATTCTACATTCCATGGGTTACATCGCACTACTGTCAGTATGCAAATTACACCCTGCTGAAAACTACAAGAACGAAAAACAAAAAGGCAAAGCAGGACAGCTAACAATATCAAGGACAGACGTGTGTCAACTTTCTTGCAAGATTTTGTACAGGGATTTTGATTACATCGTATTATTTTATGCTTTGGTTGGGTGGAGGTGTTATGATCTGGAATAATGGGTTTTGCATAAAAAGGTGTATTTGCAATTTTCATGGAAAATAAGTTGCCATGCACATTGCGAGGTGACCAGATGTGGTATTGTGTGGTTCTTCGTGTCTGGTACGGTGATAGATTACATACGTGTGCGGTCCTCTGTGATTTTATTCTACCCTGAACGTTTAGTGCTCACACATATTCGCATTGCATTCCACTAATCAGACAAGTCAGGAGTTTCAATTTAGCCTTTAGTTCATCGCTAACTTTTTCCGCTCTATGGCATCAATTCATAAGCTGATTGCACCTACTTAATTTAGCCACAAATACATAAATCATACGTTTTACGAAACATTAACAATTTCTATCCAGTTGTTATGCTTTCCAACAAAGATCTTATTGGTTTTTAAACTCAGGTGACTTTGTCTAAAGTTTAATATATTCTACTAAGATGGCGAAGTTACGATGAAAAGAATATAACTATTGATCGTTCCAGTTGGAATACTGGCAACAGGTGATTATGGCTGCCATATTGGCTAGTGTCTAACATGCCTTGTATTGTCGTTGCCCGTATATATTACTCGACAGTCAATACTCATTATGTTTTGAAATGTAGACATTTCTGTGAAATCATGTGCTCACAGTGTGATTTATTATGATTTAACATAATAGCTGTTGTTTACACTAACGGTGACTTTCATACGGCACAATTCAATTTGATATGTAATTGTCCTAAGCTGTTTGTATAGGGTTGATACGCATCTTCCGGTGGTGAAAGAATTTTATTTGTTAGGTGGAAGGTTTATTTCTGTTATAAAAACACCTTTTGTCAGGAAAGAATACTTCTATATTTGTGATTTCAGTGTAGCATAGTACCATTTGATGCCTATAGTGTTAAGTAAAACGACATGTTGACTATTTTCTGTTTAATCACAGTTTTATTAAGTTAAACTGCCTGGATGTTGAAGCTGACCAATGAGTGTATGATTGCATAGTAATATCATAATTTAACACATAGTACAACTAGAGCTGCAATTCTACCATAGTTCTATGCAAAGACACAAATGCTGACCAGTTGGTTAATTAACCAATATTCAGGCCACTCATCTTTCACACTGAGCATGCTGTCCTGCTAGGGCAATACATTTGTTTATTCGTAACAGATAGTAGCAGTTATGTGTATGTTATACTGGATAATAATCATGATTTCTCCACCCCCCCCCCCTCATTCTCCACATACACCTCCCACCTCTTTCATCATTCACATTATCTCCCTTAGTGTCCGCTTCTCTACCCACCTCCCCACTGCATCCATTACTATCGCTTCTGATTCTCACCTCGTCCACCTCTCATCTCCCTCACCCACTTCTCATCTCCCTCATCCACCTCTCATCTCCCTCACCCACTTCTCATCTCCCTCATCCACCTCTCA